GCGTCACTTCCTCGTCTACCTGAGGAAGCGTCACTTCCTCGTGTAAGGAAGGCGAGAGGAGTCGAGTGGCCCATTCAAGTACGCTCAGTTTGATCGAGAACCGATTTTCGGTCATAATGCGAGACATAAAAAAACTCTAAATTTTTGGTCGAAAACCGATTTGGTCGAGAACAGAGATGTTCGAAAACCGAGGTTTGACTGTAGTTCTTTTTTTTGTAGCTTAAAGATAGACAAGGTGTCTCGTTTTACCCCATATATGTCAGCTATGGTAGCTAAAATGAGCGATATAATGTCCTTTTCTCTCTGAAACTATATTAATTTTCACTGAAAAGATGTTTTGCAATCAAATTGTCTAGTTTGTGTGCAAATAGTTTTTCTAGATTTTTTGAGAACTGTGGTAGAAACAGCTGTTTGTATACAGCGGTGGTTGTTCTTCAGTACTCTGTCAGCACAGCCGAGTTTAGTTGGGGTGATACAAGACGGTTGTATGTCCTCTACCGGGCCGCGGGCACCACAGAGACAGACAAAGCTCTTTTATTATTTATTTATTTATTTTTGCTGAGTGTTAGTCTGCCCCCCACCTCGTTGATTACCTTCCAATGTGACATCGGGCTGGGTGGTTAAATGATTGAGAATTGTGATATTAAGTGACCAGTTGTGAGCACATTGACTCCATCACACGTGGTGGAAATTTCCGTGACTCTAGCCAATAGGAGTCCCGCTTCTAACATTGGTTTGCAAGTTGACATAAACAGAATTCGCCAATAAATGAAAGAAGAAGCCATAGACAGAAAAGAATAGTAACAAATTGACCAAATGTACAGCCAAACGCACAGCTGACAGGCAGCCATCACTTCCAAAGATAAAGCTATTTTGACAAGAGAAGTCTTCCCCCCATTGGTATTTCCAGAGCAACGTGGAGGAGGAAGCTGTTGTGTATGGTATGTCGTCAAAAACAAGGCAATAAAAGAAACCCGTTGAATCATTTGAACAAGTAGCACACAAGTGATTTAAGTCAAGAGCATGAAAATGCGAGCAGAGTTTGCACGGCAAGCCGACGTAAACATTCGCAGTTTAGTCGCTAGCAGTCGCCATTTACAAAATACTTTGCAAGCAAAAGAAAAGACTGAACCAGAGTACATTAAGCATGTTCGCTGTATTTCCGCCCCCATTTTTCATGACCTTTTGTGAATATACGTTGAGTTTTGTCATTGTTTTGTGGGGAAATGATATCTTTAACCTGGACAGGACCTTTTTTTACTAGTGAACTATTTTCACCGTTCGTCCTTCCCCTGATTTGGAGAGCTGGTTTGGTGATGATGACCCAATTGAATTGAATGTGCGTGTGAATGGTTGTTTATCTACGTGTGCCATGTGACTGGCTGGCGACCAGTCTGATGTACCTACATATCGCCCAAAGTTATCTGAAATAGGTTCCAACACACCGGAAGACTAATTCATTCATAAAAATCATTCATTAATTCATCTTCCGAACCGCTTCATCCTCACCAGGGTCGCGGGGGGTGCTGGAGCCTATACCAGCTGTCTCCGGGCAGTAAAATCGAAAGCCAAAATTGAAGCCATTACAGTTAGGACCAAAAGATCTCGGCACGCTGCAATCGTTATCCAGGCATACGATCAACTAATGAAATGGCACATCACCCCCACAATTGTAAAACCCTAATTTGCCAATAATTCAAATTATGCTCCAATGTATTGCAGACTATAATAAAACAGAATATTTGTATATTCTTACCCCCATGTTCTCACGCGTTAGATCCTTTTAGCTATTACTGTTGTTGTTGTCTTCTTCTTCGTCATCGTCGACTTCTTCTTTGTCGCCCGCTTCTTCTTCTTCTTCTTCTTCTTCTTCTTCTTCTTCTTCTTCTTCTTCTTCTTCTTCTTCTTCTTCTTCTTCTTCTTCTTCTTCTTCTTCTTCTTCTTCTTCTTCTTCTTCTTCTTCTTCTTCTTCTTCTTCTTCTTCTTCTTCTTCTTCTTCTTCTTCTTCTTCTTCTTCTTCTTCTTCTTCTTCTTCTTCCGTCGTCGTCCTCGTCTTCTTCGTCGTCTTCTTCTTCTTCTTCTTCTTCTTCTTCTTCTTCTTCTTCTTCTTCTTCTTCTTCTTCTTCTTCTTCTTCTTCGTCGTCGTCTTCCTCGTCTTATTCGTCTCCCTCTCCCTCTTTTTTTTTCTCAATCTTTATTGAACAAGTCAGGATACAATTCTCAGTAAACAGAAAACAAAACGAACACGTTATTAATACATGCACATATTACAAACATTTAAACAAAAGGAAGCCAGGGGATTTTTAAACAAAAAATTCAAATAAGGAGCATATAGCCAGCGTCTTAACAGCTTTCTTGTTTTTGGAATCCATAATAGAACTCAGGTACTGCTTTGTTTATGCTTCAAAAATTAAGAAAAGAGGTTTTGAATTACTCCATCTGGATTTGTGGATATGGAACTTAGCGAGAATGATTATTAAATTTATAATGAAGGTTTGTT